GACCCCCCTCCTGCAACCCCAACCCCCTGCCCCAGCCCCGCGCACCCCTGCATCCAAACACCATCCCAGAGCCTGCACCTGGAGCCCCCCTACATCCCAAACTCCTACCCCACTCATGAACCCCCTCCTGCACCCCAAACCCCTGCCCCAGCCCCACGCACCCCTGCATCCAAACACCATCCCAGAGCCTGCGCCTGGAGCTCCCCTACATCCCAACTGCCTGCCCCCGAGCAGCTTAGGGCCCCTCTCGCACTCCCGATCCCTTAATCCTGCATTTCTCAAACTGTGGGTCTCGACCCCCCGGGGGACACGAGCAACTTAGCGGTGGAGGTCGCATTATCGCAAAGTTTGAGAACCCCATCTTAATCAAAGACCAGGTCCTGCACCCAACCCTCTGCCCCAGCCTGATGACAGTGAGTGAGGACGGGCAAGGATGGAGTGAGCGGGGGCGGGGCCTCGGAGAAGGGGCGGGAAGGAGGCGGGGCCAGGGGATTTATATTTGAGGTAGATCTTGGATTGCACTGACATTCAAACAGTGATCTCGTGCTCAAAAAGGCTGGAGACCCCTGCTCTAGTCTGACTTCTCTATCACGCAAGCCAGAGACCTGCCTCAAAGTCCCTCCTAGAGCGGAGAAAAGCATCCAGCCTTCACCGGAAATGGTCAGTGAATGGAAAACCCACCCCAGCCAGGGCTCCCTCTTCTTTCCACCTCTGAGCAGAATTCATTTCCTTACGTGCACCACGGTGGAGGGGTGTGCGACACGGAGGTAACGTGCGACACGTCCCCTTCACACTGGTGCACTAACACAGTTCAGGTGGTGGGAAAGGGCCAAGGGGCCGGGGAAGAAGGGAGACGTGTCAGGGCTCTGGCTGGGGGTGCAGGCTAGGGATGGAACAGTGGGGTTGATTACAGGTTAATGCTACAGACTACACGTATTTCCCTCCCCCAACTCCGGCCAGTACATTTTATGCAGGCTGGCCAGCAGCCTGGCTCCGTCCTGGCTCCTGCCAGGTGTGGGACCTACTCCTGCTGCGGCTCTGCATTTAAAGTGTATTAGGAACCACGTGGGCAGGTCGCTGGCTCAGTTCTGGCTCTCACTGGGTCCAGGAGCTCAAACACCCCCCACCTTAGACACCCTGCACTGCTTCCTCTTTATCGGAGGCAGCACTCCTGGGCGACAGGCAGCCGGACCAGAAGGGGAGCAGGTTCTTAAACTGGCTCCCCTTGTGGATCAGCTCCCGCTTGGCACCCTGCACTGCTGCCTCTGAAACACTGGCTGCCGGCCCTGCCCCGGGGAGTAGAGAAGAGTCGACTAACCGATAAAAGTTCATGAGGTTACTCGATATTTAACATCCCCCGTGCAGGCTCTGGGGTGGGCCTGGGGAGGAGGGGTTTGGAGTGCAGGAGGGGGACTCCAGGTTTGGGGAGGGGGTCAGGACTGGGGGCTGGAGAGCAGGAGGGGTACCGGTTCTGGGCTGGGTGCTGAGATAAAGGAGGGCATCCTCGGGGTTTGATTTGGCCCGTCTTAATTACATCTTCTAACGGAGTGCGGCAGCGTCGCTCTTCCCCAGAGTGCAGACCCGGTCTGAGTCTATTACATCGGACTGTCGCCTTTCCCCCATGGCCGGGCTGCAGGGAGACTGGGTAGGCTGGTGGAAACAGACAAGGGAGCTCACAGAGGTGACCGTCCCTCCTTCCACCAGGTCACCAAAGCACTCGGCTGGCGTCTGGCGCGGTACGACTCTGCACTAGGGGATTTCTGCGCTGAGGACCTGGGTGTAGAATGTTCCCATTAACACAGATGATTGAATCCAGACATGCCCACCGTGATTAACCAGGGAACCAGCCCTCAGATCTTTGGGATCTTCCATGATCACGCTGACAGAGAAGAGAACACCCGAGACTCGCCCGTCCAGCCAGAGCCCTCAGCAAACCCCAGCGCAAGTCATGCAGCCCCTCTCCAGTGTCCCGCGGATGGCACGAGGGCTGAGCAGGGAGTTCTCGGGGGTGCCGTCGGACAGCGAGGGGGACAGTTCTCCCTGCTGAGCACTGAGGGCCCTTGCAGGAGGCTGGTCCTGGTGATCTCTCTCTGGTTCGGCCTTTCTGCAGGGGTTGTGATTCCCTAAGATGTCTCCATGCAACTGCAAGTGAAACTTTCTCTCCAGAAGCAGCAGCTGTGATGGGAGCTGGCTCCAAAGGGGAGTGGGCCTGAAGGGTCACTCCCCTGCTGCTTTCCCCTCCCCCCCAGCCAGGGACCACAGGCAGCCACTCCCAGCAGGGTCTCTGACTCACTGTCCCATCTCAGGCTAAAACAATCCTGATTCAGACCCTGGGGGGACTCTGCTGACCCACCCTTTTCCTGCCTCTTCTGATTGGCCAGTGCAATCCAGCTGCATGCAGAGCCTGCTGGCATCCTTGGGCTGCGGGACCCCCAGGTCTGCAATCAGCCCATCGGGGTGAGCCTTCTGCTTGGCATGGTCCTGGGTGAAGAGCAGCCCAGGCAGCCCCACACTGCCCCCCCGGCCGCTTGGAGCACTGCTGATGGAGCACACCACGTCTGTACGCGCATGGCTCAGGGACACAAGGGTGGGTCAGCGCCCGCACAGCCATGCAGCCCTTTCCTGAGCTCCACACAGTGGGTCAGAGCTCCCCCCACAGGGAGGGGGCTCAGCGGATCGGCTGGTGAATGGGGGGGCAGGCTCTCGTTCCCTTGCAATGGAGGAGCAGAAGCAACAACAGCTGCCTGCTGTACTGGCTCCAGCCTCTACTCTGGTCCTCCCCCCGCCCCTCCCCACTCCCTGGAGGGCCTGTACTTGTGGGGTGAGCGAGTTCTCCAGTCAGGGGGGCAGGAAGTACTTAAGGGATCATGTGACCTGGATCGTGCTGAAGCTGCTGGCTGAAGGGTAAGGGGATCTGCCAGCCACATGGAAAAAGCTGGGTAAGTTACAGACACAGCCAGACAGGATCAACTTCTCTGCTGCTTTCCCAAATCCTCTGTTCCAAACTGAAAAGCCCCAGTCACTTTAACCTCTCCTCATATGGGCCCTGTTCCAAACCCCTGATCATTTTAGTTGCCCTTTTCCGAACCCTTTCCAAGGCCAAAATATCTTTTTTGAGGTGAGGAGATTCCCGGTGTTACACTCCGGTCATCCGAAGAAGTGGGCGGTGCCCACGAAAGCTCACGATCCCATCGACATGCTTTGTTAGTCTAGAAAGTGCTACCAGACCACTGGTTGGTTTTTCCCCCGGGGCGGGTGTGTGGGTGCACCACGTTTGTATGATTACATTTCAAACATATCAGAGGGGTAGCCGTGTTAGTCTGAATCTGCAAAAGCGGCGAGGAGTCCTGTGGCACCTTATAGACTAACTGAAGTGTAGGAGCATAAGCTTTCGTGGGCAAAGACCCACTTCGTCAGATGCATGTGGTCTTTGCCCACGAAAGCTTATGCTCCTACACTTCAGTTAGTCTATAAGGTGCCACAGGACTCCTCGTCGCTATTTCAAACATAGTTTAAGTAAGTATTAATAGCTTAAGGTAAGCAAGAAAACGATTCTTTTAACAGAATTATTTGAGCGTTGCCGATATCTAAAACTGACCCTAATGATTTTTTTTTAAATCCTGTGTTACTAATTAATACATGATAAATTGTACTGCATTAAGGCCAGGTCTTTGCTAGCTGGTAGAGTTCTGGCTCATGAGTGGAAAGTAGCAAGTCCTAAGTGTGATGCTGGCTGTTTTGTAGAATAAAACCTTCTTTGCAAGATCTTTGAAACATGCACCTGTGTGTCAGAAAGGACGAGGATACATGTACTCCAAGGTCTCAGAGGGGTAGCCGTGTTAGTCTGTAACTAAACAACTTAAACAACAAAGGTCTACTCTGTTGTATCTTAGACTAACAAAAATCTATAAATAGTATCATGAGCTTTCATGGGCACAATCCACTACAGCCATGGGTAGTGTTCATTTTCTTTTTATTGGATTTCGTATGAAATAATCAGAAGCATTGCTCCTTGTTAATTACCTCTTGTTTTAATATATTTTCTTCCACACCTATGGACTATTTAAATGTATATTTATATCTATATCTATGGGTTTTGTTTGTACTTGTTTGCACATCCACACACAACCTCAATATTGGCGTTGCACATAAGAAATTTCAAGCTGCCCAAAAGAAAATTCCACCCGCCCAAGGATGGAAAGTCTTAGAGGGAACACTGGGCATGCATGGGCAGGCTTGCTCAGAAACCCAGGAGAGCACAAGAGCATGGGCCTGGACAGGCAGCACAGGCTGTGAATAGGGACCAATGCAATGGGAGAGCCATGCTCCAGACCCACAGCTGGCGCTCTCAGACCTTACTGAAAGCCTGCAGAGTGGCTGGAAGGGACTGGAGTGCACTGCCCAGTGCAGGCACGAGCAGGCAAAGCTCTCCCTAGAAGAACAGGGGCAGTGCCGAGCTGCACACCCACCACGTGGCCCATCTGTTGATCTAGGCAGAGCCCTGCCCGAATGACAAAGTGCAGGTTAAAGCTACAACCTTAATTCCCCACCCTGAGCAATGCCCACAGAGCCCAGGTTCTCCAAGCTACCGCTGGTACCAGAGCAGAGCCTACAGATCTCATCCAAAGCCTCGCCATGAACCACGCCCTGGCAGGCCGGTGCTGGGAATGGCTAAAGCCAAAGGATATCTGGTGCACACAGGCTACGCTGCCACTGCCGAGCCACTTTGCCGGGGGGTCTGCTAACAGCATGTGAAGGGATCTCTGCCAGCCAACCTCCCTCTGCCTGCATTGTCTTGAGGCACCCCCAAGAGCCAGGGGCTGTTCCCCGTGTCCCAGCTCAGGCTCCCAGGCTAAGAACGCAAGGTCCTAACAAAAGGAAGGAGAAAGGGTTACCTCTGCAGACGGTGCCATTCTCCACCGATTCGTAGCCAGCCTTGCACATGCACCGGCCAATGGGCACCAGCCACTCCCCGTCCCCGTTGCAGTACAGCTTGATGGGGACGTCCACCTCCTCCGCGTTGGGAATGCACGAGCCCCTGGCAGCCACCAGTGAAGTGCTCTCGGCTCCCGAGAGCGTCTCCTGGAACACGGCCCCATTCTGGATCACACGGGGGCACTTGCGGTAGAAAACCCTGACAGCGATTAAGGACATGCAGCCCCCGTAGTCCTGGAATGCCAGATAGAATCCATTCTTGGAGACCGGGCCGAAGCTGCGCACCTCAGTATTGATCTTCATTACACGGCCCCCCAGGTCCACCTGGGAGAAGCTCTCGTCAGCCGCAATGGTGTCCACCTTTGCCCAAGGGTTCTCCATCCAGCTGGGAAAGGCCTTGGTGGCCGAGTCGAAGTCCGATTCGTAGTAGTAGAGATTGAAGGTCTCCTTGCAGGAGCCGGGAACGTTCGGGATGCTGCTGCAGTCCCGGACGGAGAATTTCATCTCCACGTGGATGCGGTGAGCGCCCCTCCGCCGGATGTACTTGGTCCGCAGCCAGTTGTTCTGACTGGACTCAAAGACGTTGCACACCTGGTACGTCCGGATCGTGTTCATGTTCTCATCGTAGCCGCTCACCTCTTCCCACTGCAGATGGGACACAGAGAGTCACTGGGCTGCACTGCGTTCACATGCACTGGCAGCAGCTTGGGCTGCTGTCCATACCGGGGAGAGGCACAGCTCTGCCTCCCCCTCCTCCCCTGACAGGCAAAGGCTCAGGCTGCCTGGGGGAGAGGAGAAGCTAGTCTCAATGTGGGGTCAGCTGTGTCAGTAAAACCCGCACTGCGCCAAGGTAAACTCTCCCTGCACTAGGCAGCCAACGCAGGGTCTAATGCCAGGGTTCCCTGCGCCAGGGCACATACCTCCTCTAATGTGCCACACAGGCAGGTGCAGGGAGCGGCGGATGCAGCCGAGGAGGGACCTGAGGGGGGAGCAGCCACAAGGTACTTGGTGCCTTCAGGTATGCTGCCATGGCTGGGACAGGACAAAGGGCACAATTCTTCGGGTGCTTACTTGGCTTCCACTGCCCTTGGGGGGAGATATGGCCACTGACGGGCAGAGGAGACTCTGGAAGGGTCATAAAAGTCCCTGGGTGTGTCTAGCCCGGCCTGGGCTCTGGTAGAAGGCTCTCACCTCCTGCCTCGCTCCAGGGTCCCAGGGCAAAGGGCAGCTTGACATTTTAAAAAGGAAACGCCAAAGAAAACCATAAAGACCTTGGGGAATCCAGGCCCTCCTCTGAGCCGTCACTCGCAGCCGGGCAAAGGGAGTAACGGGGACTGAGATTTACCTTCGCACAGCCGGAAGAGGAGGCAACGGAGCTGAAATCCTGGCTCCATGGCAGGGAATTGACCTCAGTGTGTCTGTGCCTGACCAGCTCCTCTAGGACGGCGGCAGAGGTCTCCCAAGTGGGGTTTTCATCCTGCCCCCAGGCTCAGGCCGGAGTCGGATGGAGTTTGCCTAAGGAAGGGCCCCAGGATCGGTCTCCGAGAGACCCCATTTCTAGTGAAGTGTAGGGGGAGCCAAATGCCCTGACCTGCCTGGGACATGCACCCCAAGTGCTCAGGCCCTCCCTCGGGGCGACTCAGTACTTCCTCCCACAAGCTCCCAGGCTGCGAGTGAGCAGGGCCCCGCCTCCGTCCGGCGCGGCTCCTGGGGCCAAGATTCCTCGGGGATGCTCCCCTGGGAATGCACCGCTTGTCACCAGGAGGAGGAGATGCCACTGGAGAGTGACAGGCAGGACCCCTCTGCCTTTGCAGCTACTTCTAGGACCCCAGCTGCTCTTGCTATGGCTGCTCCCCGACTGGGTGGAGAAGCCAGACAGCTTCACTTGCCAGGCCCTGGGCTGCAGCGGGAGGTTCCATGTTCATGGACACAGCCTGGTGCAGCCTGGCTAACTGACATCACAGGCTGCCCCCGACTTGCGACGCGATCGGTTCCAGAGACAGCGGCGCAAGTCGGGGGCGTCGGGACTCGAGTCTGCATTTACGACAGGAGTCGTGCGCCATCGCACGTGCAGGGGGGTTCCGCCCCTTCCGCACTTACAGAGAAGCTCGTAGCTCGGAGGCCTCCTGTACTCACATTTGGGAAACAAAAGAAACGAGCTGGGGAGCTGTTGGATGAAGCATTTGCTGAATCTCCCTCCCCCTGCAGCATTTCAGTGACTACTGAGAGTGGGCGACAGCTTCTGCTAGGAGTCGTGCGCCATCGCACGTGCAGGGGGGTTCCGCCCCTTCCGCACTTACAGAGAAGCTCGTAGCTCGGAGGCCTCCTGTACTCACATTTGGGAAACAAAAGAAACGAGCTGGGGAGCTGTTGGATGAAGCATTTGCTGAATCTCCCTCCCCCTGCAGCATTTCAGTGACTACTGAGAGTGGGCGACAGCTTCTGCTGATTTCAAAAGGGACCTAGCCCCTTGGGCGCTTCGGCCCACCTGGCGGCCAATGAGAATTTGGCTCTGAACCAAGCAGATGCTTTCTAAAATGTTACTCCTCATACAAAAATTAAAATTCTCGACATTCAGGAACTTGAATGGGGGGGGGGGGGGGGGGGGGAGGCACAC